GACTTCAGACCTGCATCTTCCCCCTTTAACATGACTGACTAATGATGAGGAAACTCAGATCCAAGTCAGTAGAATATAAAACAGATACAACCGAGAAGTAGGAGAAGAGACACAAGAAAGGAAACTGAGACACAAGACATGGAGCTGCTACAACCTAATTTCAGAAACAAGGAAGCTCAACTGCCAATAAGAAAATGAGTTTTCATGGGATAACATAGCTGAGAATTTCCAAAGTCAAAAAAAAAAAAAACCCTAGTACACTAACTATTATATTGTCTGTGGAGTATTTAGAGCTGTCCCATTTTTTACAAGCTGGTTGAACTACCTAGTAACCTCTAAAGTCTGATGCAAATGCTTCCAATTGACCTGTAAAAGAAATGATTTTCCCCACTCCACACCCACTCCCTGGAATCCTAAGAAATGCTAGAAGTCATACATGTTCAGATAGTTACTAGAAGGGCCCTGTAACGCTATGCTTCCCACTGGGAGGTCTACCTCACTTAAAGATAATAAATAACTAAAAAGGAAAACATCACATCATCTCAGAACCTTAATAGGCTCTTATCCCTATATCACTAAGAGTCTCCAGGTTCCCAGGCTTGGTCAAGAGAATAACCCTATATGACCCAAAAGACAGAAATATCGGCGGCTGACCAGGGTATTCAAGAAAAGTGTGTCATTGTAATTATATAACTCATTGCCTCCACCATCCTAACAGTTAACCTGTGTAAAAGATTAAAATTTCAATAATCTCATTACAAAGGGTGTGTGAATAAAGCACGGGAAGCACCTGTGCATTACAGGAGAGCCTCAAATCCTGTCTCTTCTACATATGAGCAGTGTGACAACCTTTCTGGTTGATCATGATGTATGTTTAAGATAAACCTGTCCTGCCTGCTTCTAAAGGATGAGGCTTGCCCATTCCTCCTTTGATCCATCCAGCCATCCACCATGTACCGAGTAGTCAGCTCTACACTAGACTCTCAGAAATACAAAGATGGAAAAGCTACTAGCCCTGCCCTCAAAGAGCTTCAAGTCCAATGGGAGACACAGATATGTAAATAAAGTCGGGTAACCAAGATGCCAACAACAAAAGTATGTACACACAGGGTGCAGAGAGCTGAGGTGGGCGGAAGGGATTCTCCCTTTGGTGAGAGGGATACAGGAAAAAAATTTCCTGGGGCACCTGTGTGGCTCAATGGTTGAGCATCTGCCTTTGGCTCAGGTCATGATCCTGGGTCCTGGGATCAAGTCCTGCATTGGACTTCCCTCAAGGAGCCTGTTTCTCCTTCTGCCTGTATCGCTTCCTCTCTCTCTCTCTATCTCTCATGAATAAATAAATAAAATCATTAAAAATAAATAAAATAAATTAAAAGTTCCCAATTTCTTAGCTAATGATAATTGATTTACACACCACTTGAATTTTTTTATTCCAAATCTCAACACCTAGAAATCTCTCCACCCCTTGTTTTCTCACCATTGTTTGTTTGTTTATTTTACCATTGTTTAATATACCTTTTTCTTGATTAAGCTCCAGCTCTGCTCTTCCCTGAATTCCATCTCAACTCCACATGGAGGTTCCCCTATCATGTCAGGGGGTCTAACAATATGTCATTTAGTTCTCTGGCCAGAGAATAAGATCACTTACAAAACCCCTAAACTTACTCATAATAACAGCTCTGGGTGTTATGAGTAAGATCAAACAGCATCAATGCCAAGAAGATCTCTTATCGGTTCATTAAAAAATGCAGAAACACGAGCTAATTGAGGGCAGTAAGAGCAAGGAGGGAAAACCAAGAACAGCCCACAGCAGAAACACAACTTTGCCAATATCTGACTTGGAAGAAACAGCTTGGCTGAATTTCTCATCATCTAGCACAGAATTCCTTAGCATACTTTGAAAAGCACAATAAAATATATTTAATAGGAAGAAAAGCTTGTTGCCATCATGTTGGAGGAGCTGGGTTCAGAGAACTAGGGGAGCATGGATGTCTGAGTCACAGTATGATTAACTGAGAGTTTTCATAAAGCATTAATGGCACTTAATTGCCACGAAGACACTAGGAATCATAGTGACTAGATCAATCAAGAGCCTACCACTATTTTTCTTTTAAAAACAGAACCACGAACAACTAAAACATCTCTAGGGCTATTTATCCTCACCCCTGAATGACACCCAGGATTTTGGGGGGGGGGTAAGATTTTATTTATTTGACAGAGAGTGCACAAGCAGGGGGAGCAGCAGGCAGAGGGAGAGGGAGAAGCAGACTCCTCGCTGAGCAGAGAGCCTGCTGCAGGGCTCAATCTAGGGACTCCAAGATCATGACCTGAGCCAAAGGGGACACTTAACCGACTGAGCCCCCCAGGTGCCCCTCCCATGGTTTTTCTAATCTACCTCTAGTCTTACATGTTTCAAATACCTATGATTTTTACATGAGTTACCTACATCACAGCCCCTTCTGGGTCAGAGCTTCTAGGGCTGGGAAGATGGAAACCAGAACATTCGTCCATGGAGGATGAATGAGAAAGAAGAAAGAAGAAAGAAGAAAAGAAAGAAAAGAAAGAAAGAAAGAAAGAAAGAAAGAAAGAAAGAAAGAAAGAAAGAAAGAAAGAAAGAAAAGACATTAACTGCAACTAGGAAGGAAGAAACACGACACTGGAGCACTAGGGGGCTTACCCAGAAGCCAGGCCAAGAGAGTTGTCAAGCAGGAACTCAGTCCACTTTTGTCAGACTTTCATCTTTACAAAAATTCGAATACTTATCTTAAAATTCCTTACCTTTTTAATATGGACAATGATTTGTTTTTAACTCTGAGAGGCAAACAAATCTGCAACCCTGTTTCAAGCTGAAAGTCCTAAATATATTAGTGAATGTCTGTCCCTGAGAAAAAGTAATCCAGGAGGATCATGGGAAGAGAAAGGGTTAAAACAGGACTAGACTCCCTGGGCTAATCAGGTCAGAAAGGAGGTGGATCCTGATGCTAGGTGTCAGAAGCGGGGTATTGTGACAACTTCCTCCTCCTGTCCTTTCTGATTCTCTTAGTGGCTAAGGTTGCTCCTAGGCAAGACAGTAGGCCAGGTTCTGAAATAAAAAAAAGGTTCCACTGTTCTCTTTATTCCACTTAATCTAAAACAATTAGGGCACTTTTAATTTCATATATTTACCATTTTCAAAGTGACCTAACAATTGAAACATCTCAAATGTATCAGTCCATATTTCTAAGCAGGTAATATTGGCTTCTGAGGTTTTTTGGTTAAGAAACTATTAGGCTTTACCACTTCCACAGTTATATTTCTATTCTTTTCTTAGACTTGGTACATTAAATTCAAATTATAACAAATAATTGTCATACAGTAAAAACATATTGTTTTCCCTTAAAATCTATACTAGATTTTAAAATAATTTTATTTCTGTTCTTATATGAAACCCTTTTGGAACTCTAAATTTTTCAGATTTAATAAATGAAATATAGCATATAGGGGCACCTGGGTGGCTCAGTGGTTGAGCATCTGCCTTTGGCTCAGGACGTGACCCCAGGGTCCTGGGATCGAGTCCCGCATAGGAATCCCCCTGGGGAGCCTGCTTCTCCCCCTGCCTGTGTCTCTGCCTCTCTCTGTGTCTCTCACAAATAAATAAATAAATAAAATCTTAAAAGAAAAGAACTATAGTACATATACCATATACGTATACTCCCAGTGGGGACTGGGATAGCCCCACATAAACAAACACATTAATATTTCTGCATACATACGTGCAAAAAAAAACCCAAAAAGTCCCGGTGACTAGGATAAATTAAGACCAAAAATAGTTTTACAACTAAAAGAGTTTTTCCAGTTTGTGTCTTCAGCATTTCAGGGATTTAGGAAGTTTCATAATTATATGAACCTAAAGAATTCCACAAGTTGGAATGACAAGCCGCAGCAGAAATTAATTTCAGGACAACCAGAAAGAAGCAGATGCCATTCTCCCTGAAGTAGGAGAACATAAATACAGAGAAATCAGTGGGAGTTAAAAAAAAAACAAACAAACAAAAAAACAAACAAACAACCAAAAAAGCAAAGCAATTTCTGAGGAAGGCACTCTTAGGTTTAAAAAAAAAAAAAAAATCAGAATTAAATAAAACCAAAGAATAGGATCACCAAAAATCCACTGTAACCAACCAGACAATAGCATGTGGTGAACGAGGACAGCACATTCTTAGTCATTCCCTGGAATCCAAGAATATTTGTGGTAGGGAGGAGCATGGCTGGACTTGTGGTCCTAGATGCTGCACTCCCAAGATGTCAGGAGAAAAAAAAGGTTGGCCAGAGGCAACTATACATTCACATGCCTCCTCTAGTGGTAAAACCAGAGGCTAAAACAACTAAAAAGCAAGGAGCTGAGTGACAACTTGCCCTCACTATGCCACATGCTCACTGACCAGGCTTTCAGCAAGCCACTTCTCCTTCTCCCATAAAAGGTACTTTGCGATAGCTGCTTATCACAAAAAAAAAAAAAAAAAAAAAAAAAGCAGTTCTGCTTTAGCTCAACCTCAGTAATGTGCTGGATCCACCTAATCACTAACCAGTTTTAAATAATTTCCACTTAATAATGAAGAACTATTCATATAAAGTAATGGACACACAGTGTATATGTGCTAAAGAAGACTTTGATACCAAATACAGTCATTTATGGGAAGGAGCCATGTGCATACAATATACTTAATGAATTCCACGAGGATCTAAAACCAATACGGAAATCTGTATCCTTGAACAGATTAATTCAGTAGGCTGATATAAAATGTAGACCCATAACTACTAAACCATAAAAAGAGACTTAGGAATAATTTCTCACCACACTCTAAGTTCTAAGCTTTATCATTCAGATCCAAATGATAACAAATTATTACCTTAACTTCTTTTACCTACAGCTTATTCCATAAGATTTGGGGGGAAGGGGGAGATATGATAAAATATTACCCACATAGAAAGCCGCAAAGTAAATTTTTATTGTCTCCTACCTCTGCTCGACCCTCATAGTAGGTTAACATGGACTTTGTTAGCACAAAAAGTCTCTCTTTGTAGTTTAAGGGCGATGTCTTCTTTTTCTGCTGTGACCTTTTAATAAGAATCTCTTCTAGAATAGTGTTAAAATTCATCTCGGTCTTCTGATCACTCTGTCTCCTGCCATTGAAGATCCCAGTATTCTAAAGTGAGAAAATAAACAGTTGAAATAAAATGCAACATCTTAATTTTCCAAAGCTGTTCTCATTCCAAATTACCAAACTAGAATTTACCCTCACCACAGCTGGAGCTAGTGAATGTTAGTCTATGAACCAGGACCAAAACTGCCCAGGGCACAGAAGCTCAACCTCCTCTTCATCCCCAGGCTTATCCTGTTCTTCCATATCCAAGCATCTCACAAGAAAATCAAATCACGGATTGCCATGATGATGAGTCACTCCTTTGTACCTTCCCAGCATCCCTTAGGTTTCTGACACATTCTTCTGCTATCTGACTACAAGGAAACAAGCATCTCGGATGAAAAAGTACATTTCATCACCTGCTCAGCTGATTTAGGCTGGTATTTAAATTCCCTCAGGATCCTGGTACACAAAACAGATGAGCACATAGACCCAGTGGACGTGTGAACACAGTGAATTTCCACAGTGGTAGATATGAGTCAATCTCCAGCTCTGATAAGAATGTAATCTTGATCAAACATCCTAGTTGCCAGAGCCATGAGAATGTTCTCCAGTGTCTACACCATGCTCCATAGTTCTCCTTCCTATGGCTCCTGTCTCAATCACAAGAGAAAAGGAAATCCACCTGGTCACGGCTAACCTACTCAGAGAAGAACCTATCTGGACAAGGTCCTCAGCCCTATATTTGGATCCCCACACGCCGATGAAGCCTTTTAAATTCAACAAAATTTAGGTATCTGAAAAACCCAAAAATACTCAGAAAAATACATTAAGATTCTTATTTGGTAGAAAATGAATTGACAACAGCCTTTCTTTTCTTCCTTTCACCACACATTAGAGTCACTGTACATCAAACCATACAGGTAATAGGAGTCACACGAAGAACACAAGGGGTTACCTGGGAGCACAGCTAGAGCCTTGACACCGAGTTAGCCACTAGAAATGCTACCATCTCCACATCCAGCCTGATGCCTTGGAAGAACCCTGCAACTCCCTATTCCCAATCTCTCATATCCAGTCAGGACCCCCATTTCTGTAAGGTTACTTCACAACAGTTTAACCTCTGTAAGAAAGAACTTGCTTATAATGAAAACTCTATACAAACGTTTACTATATTATTTTTTTTAATTCCACTACCTTTTTCCTAGCTCAGAGCATTATAGTCTGGACCATGGTAGCAGCTTTCCAACTGGTCTTTCTTTTCACAAGCTCTTGCCTCATTTTGTTCAAATGATTATACCCCTCATTCCCACTGGATCAATCTTCAAAGACACTGCTTGCACCATGCCAGTTCATTCACCAGAAATCCTCAATGCCTCCTCAGAAGCCTCCCTACCACCTGTAGGATTAAGTTAAAATTCCCATACTGACACAGACAATCACAATCTGTCTATAACCTATCATCTAATCTTTTCTTCCACTGCTCTTCAAACAGTTCCACACCCAGTCAAAATAGTTGGCATGAAAAGTCCACTAGCTCAAAACTCACTTCCTCAATGAAGGGTTTCCTGATGACTCCAATTAATTAAATGCCTTCCAATTCATGCCCCATGATCTCTGTATCACTTATCATAGAGCTCACTATAGTCTTCCATATTCTACAGCAATTAATGTACAGTTTTTAACTTTCACCTAGATTTAAAGCTCCTAAGAAAAATAGTTCTCAACCTTAAGTGAACATTAAAATCACCTAGGGAGGGGCACCTGGGTGGCACAGTCAATTAAGCATCCAACTCTTGGGATTCAGCAATTCGGTTCAGGTCATGATCTCAGGGTTGTGAGATTGAGCCCTGGGGTGGACTACACACTCAACACGGAGTCTGCTTAAGACTCTCTCTCCCTCTCTCTGTGCCCTGCCCTTGCCCTCGAGCACACTCTCTCACTCTCTCAAATAAATAAATCTTAAACAAATAAATCACCTAAGGAGATGTTTTGAAATGTTCAGGCCCCACCCCAGATATTTTTATTCAATTGGCCTGGGGTGGGGCCCAGGATATTATGATTTAATGCGCAGGTGGATATGAGAGCCACTATCTTAAAGGAAGAGATTGGGCTCTCGAACTAACTATATATTTATACAAAGCACTCTTTGTATTTATGGTAGCCTCTCAGTAAGCAGCTGGATAATGGACCCAATGAAGCCATCATTATTCTAAGAAGTCATAGAAAAGCTCTTACTTCAGAGAAAAGCTGTTGTTCTTTTGCATCTCAGTTGGTCCTCCTTATTGTAAATTAAAATTTTCGTACTTTTTTTTTTCTGAGACACTGGTTGACATGTAAATACCACTTCGGAAATCATCTTTTCATCTTTGTACAACACATTTTTAATGCAGGTTGAAAACGACAATTCAAAGAATGGATTGTAAGCGAAAAGCAGGCTATGCCCTGGAAAACAGGCCATACGCAAACATGTAGTTCCTAGGCCAGCGAGTAATACCAGCGTTACCAAATAGAAGGTAGATTTTTGGAAGGCGGATATAGGGTGCGGTTCATCTGGAGTTTTAGAAGCAAAAGATCTCAACATCCAGGAGCAGGAGAAAATACATCATGTTAAATGCATTGAAAAAAAAAAAAAAAGCCCCTTATCTGACTTATAGGAGATATTAGTAGTCTTACAAAGAACACACTGTTTGAGTTGAAATAAGTGTTAGCCATCATCTATCTTACTCATTTTGCAAATTAAGAAGCTGAGGTTTAGAAAAGTTTAGCAACTTGCCCAAAGTCACACAAACCAAGACTAAAAGAAAAGTCTGGGCAGCCCGGGTAGCTCAGCAGTTTAGCACCGCCTTCAGCCCAGGGCCTGATCCTGGAGACCTGGGATCGAGTCCCACGTCGGGCTCCCTGCATGGAGCCTGCTTCTCCCTCTGCTTGTGTCTCTGCCTCTCTCTTTCTGTGTCTCTCATGAATAAAATAAATAAATAAAATCTTAAAAAAAAAAAAAAGAAAGAAAAGTCTCCTGGCTCCAAGTGAAGGGATCTCTCCACCATTTGATACCATACAATTAAAAGCTCACTGTTGTTTTAATAATTCATTGTTTAATGGTAAATCCTGGCTAAAGGAAATTATTGAGGTCCACAGAGGTAAAAACAAAGGAAAATTCTCCTCATATAGACTTCCAGCTAAAGATAGAGGGTTGTATGTGCACAGTAGCATTAGCTCCCTTCTGAAATCCCATTAAATCAGTCCTTTGTTGTTGTTGTTGTTGCTGTTGTTGTTGTTGTTGTTGTCATGAAGAAATTAACTCTTGTGGAAATAGAAAACAGGACAGGAGATAACAACAAAGTTTGGGAAACTGAAAAGCAAATAAACATGTGGTAGTTCCAGCTGCAAGGAAGCCTAGAAACAACCCAACTTATGCTGCAGAGCCTCCAAATAATTCAAGAATCAGCAGAACTTGGTATGTCTGTAAGTGGTGGTGAAGAAGACTTTCAACAAAAGGATTGCTTTCAGGTCTGTATAAGAAACAGGCTCCCCTCTCCCGTGCCACATTATAGCTAGGTGACTAATCCTCCCCAATCCTAGGAGAAAATTGCAGGGTTATTTTCCGAAGGCTATAAAACAGAAGGTCTCTATCCTGGGAGAAACTACAGTTGAGGTGGTACCTCACACTGCAAAGGGGGACTTAAGGAAACCTGTACAAGCATATATACTCAATGTTGAGACCACTCAGCTCTCTTCTTCCACCTGACTCCACAATACTGGATAAGGACCAGACTAAGAGGAAAGCCCTACAGATACAGACACAGGAGAGCTCCTGTGGCCAGAAATGGCCCAGCCAGATCACCCTATAGGAAGTCAGCAAGTGCCACCCACAGCACAAAGCTTCCAATAGACTTTTGGAGCCCAATTCTTGAATGAGAGAAGGCCAAAAATCACCAAACTAAGGAAAGATTCTAATATGAATTCAAGGTCAAACAATAAAAGGCAGGGGGAGCAACTTGTAGGAAACAAAGACTGCAGAGAAAAGAAAATGCTTAAAAAAAGAAAAGTAATAGGGGCAGCCCAGGTGGCTCACCGGTTTAGTGCTGCCTTCAGCCCAGGGCATGATCCTGGAGACCTGGGATTGAGTCCCATGTCAGGTTCCCTGCATGGAGCCTGCTTCTCCCTCTGCCTGTGTCTCTGCCTCTCTCTCTCTCTCTCTCTCTGTCTCTCATGAATAAATAAATAAGATCTTTAAAAAAAAAAGTAATAAGAGTTAAGGGAAGATACTGTGTACATGAAATGAAGTGAGGATACAGCTAAAATAAAGAAGAGAGAACCAAAAAAGAGGAGCATTGGCAAAAAAAAAATAAAAATAAAAATAAAAATAAAAAACTCAATAGAAGGAGTAGAATATACACTGAGCAAATCTCCCAAGAAATAAAACTAAAAGCAAAAAATATATATATACAAAACTGGAGAGGGGATATAATAAAATTAGAGGACCCATCCAGAAAGTTCAGCAATTGAAAAATAAAATAAAAAGGAGTTCCAGAAAGAGAAAGCAAAGAAAACTAGTGTGAAAACTAATCAGAGAAGAAATTTAGGAAAAATTTCCCCACAGGGAAGGTTATTTTCAAATTAAAATAGAACCAATTCAAGGCACAACTCAAAAAATTTAAAAATCATGGAGACAGAAGATTCAGCAGGCTTAAATATAGGTTTCATGGAAAGGCTCACACTTCAGAATGGCAATCATCAGGCAACATTGGAAGCTGGAAGATAACAGAGAAAAATGCCCCTCCAAATTCGATCTCTAACCTAAAATTCTATGCTCAGCTAAATTATCAATGTGGTAATAGGAGAGAAAAGACACTTTACAAATATGCAAGGCTTTACAAAATTTCTCTCTTTTTGCCCTTTTTAAAAAGCGACTTGAGGGGTGCCTCTGTGGCTCAGTCGGTTAAGTGTCTGCCTTTGGCTCAGGTCACCGTCCTCGGCTTCCCCTGCTCGTGCAAAAAAAAAAAGCTACTTGAGAATGTAGTCTACCAAAATAAAAAGTAAACCACAAAATACCTGGAATC